AAATAGTCAAAGCTTTAAATCCAGCTATTTTGGGCTGGTTCTGGAGCTGATATGGGTCCAAAACGTGGATGTGCAAGATTTTGGGCGAATTTACCAAGTCAATTTAGGATTATGTTTCCTATTTTATTTTAATTTATTTAGTTCCCTAGTCTTACTCTAAGACCATTTTTTATTAGAAGTTTAATGAGGGTAGTATAAATAAGCCTTTTTGGCAGACCTAGGGTTTCTAGAGAGAGGAGAGAACGCATGCAACTTTTGGAGAGAAGATTTTGGGCAAAGTTTAGAGATTTTCAGATTTTATTCCACAAGGTGTTTTCATTCTTTTTCTATTTCAATAAAGACTATGATTTTTAGTATGAATATGCGTAACTAATTCTTTTTGCTAGGATGAGGCCATGATCCTTAGCAAGAATATGTAGTCTCTTTTTAATTTGCTTATGAATTTATGCATGCAAGTTTTGGATTGTTAATCATTGTACTTTAAACTATCTATTTGTCTTAATGATTCGCGACCATTACGATATTTAGGAAAGTTATTTGATGCAATTTTGACGAAGGGTTGTCCCTAAAATTGACTAAAGCTTCTTGGGGTTAATATGTGTAACCTCTTAGGATGGACGACATGTTTTAAGGGTTATATGGTTTTTCAAAAGGTTTTCATAAAACTTAATGAGTCTTGCATGTTCACATTCGATCTGAACACCACGGACGGGTTGTATGTTAGATATACGTTCTATGTTGGAGGTTCCAAGTAGGATATACTCTAGGAAAACCTAACCTTCAAAATATACATGTATGGTTCGTAAGTATTTAGAAGAGCTACATAGGATTGTTAGGGTGACGGCGGAACCCTAGTACTTTCTCACTTTGAATTCTAAAAATTGTTTCCTTTATCTTTCTTTAAAGTTGTGGTTTTTAAGTAATCTTTCTAATTAAATTCGTTTTTCTTAGTTTAGGTCATTAAATCACCTCTTTCAAAAGAAAAACTTTGTTTTAATTAATTAGTTGAGAATTGATTTCGCTTTGATCTCTTTAAATTAATCCTTATGTAGAACGACCATGCTTGAGCCAATTATACTACAATAACCTTGTTTCTCTTGCAAGTATTTTAGGTGTTTTTAACCCTTTTGCGCAGGTGGTAAAAATCCTATCAACTACATTCAAGTTTTGACTATTATATAACTTTATGTAGGCAACATAGGATTAAAAATTTGATTTCGTAGTAATAATTTTAGCTTAGCCCACCGACCGAATAATTTCTGACTACGCCATTATGTACTAACCATTTTAGTTAGATAAAATATGTACATCAAATAAGATTGACTAAATTAGTCGAAAGTTTGATGCTACAACCATATTAACAAAACTTTGGACTATAATTATTTTACACATAAAAAAAAAATTAAAAAAAAAAAAAAAAAAAGAAGGAACAACACAAACACCCGTCCATCAAACAAATCCATTACACTGTCATCATCAGTGGGCCTCCTCACCAATGACTACACACCATCATTCTCATGGATTCTAATCAGTGATAGAACCAGGAATTTACAACGATGAGGTCAAAAAATAGTTTTCACAAATCAATCATACTTTTATTTAAAAATAGCTTTCAAATATATCAAAATGAAGATTACAAATAGAGTGTTTAACTTTCAGACCCAAATCCTACATACACCAATAGCTCTCACTCAAACAAAGAACAAATAGAGAAGATCAAAATACATACAAATTCCTCTCTCAAAAGCTATAAACCGTAATACCAATACAAATGATTGCTCAAAAGAGAGCACAAATAAAGCAGCCCAAAGAGAATTAAAGGGTTAGGAACCAAAAGCATTAGAAGGATGGAACCAAAAAGGGCTAATGGCCCACTAAATTTGGCCATAATTCATCTGCTGGTGGTGGTATGTCATAAGAGTAAATTTAGAAACTTGGGTCAAGGGATCTCGATGCACCCCTTTGGTTCCGCTACTAGCCGTAGCGGAGCCAAAACTTCATCGCAATGGGGGCAAAATTGAGAAATTTTCGAATTTTAATTACAAATAACTTCATTCACAAAATATTGTCAGATTATCACACGTGTGCTTATATATTTTATATTCAGTTTCCTATATACAATGTGAGACTAATGCACTCTGAGCATATATTGTTGGTACTTCACCTTTCTAAGAAAAATATGCATCTAGTCTATAATCTCTTATTGGTTACATTCCCTGCTTGGGGGATGAGTTTATTTTCCCTTTGTGAATAACGTATGTTGATTATAAAAATCTGATAATTAGAATCATTCATTTTATTAATCTTCGTTTGAAGATCCTTCTATAAAAAATAATTTCAAATGGAGATCATATAGTCATTCAAATGTATTAACAAATCAACGATGTAGATAACAAGTAACATATTCATGTTAACCATCTATTTGTTTGCTTCATTTGGATGATTAAACATTTTTCAATTCAAATGTTTTTTTGTAGGAATGTTCTTGAAATGAAAAATAGTAAATTGAACGATTCTAATCGTTAATTTTATTCAATCAAGATACATTATTCGCAAATTTAAAATATGTGCATCCCTTTCCTTTTTTCTTGGCTTACAAGAGGGGTAGGGGAAATATGTCACGTTACGCCCCCCAACCCTTTCCTCTGCTACTTACCAAGAGGCTCGCAGGAGGGGAAGGGGAAATATGTCATGTTACGAAATTAAAGTTTAAGTGAACTCGTAACATCAAATGAATATGCTACGCTATGACGATCATCCTACGCGTGCACACATGTCAGAATACCTGCCATTTTTTTCGGACAAAGTTAGAATACCTGCTTAAATTTGGACAATGCCAAGTTAATGCACGTGATAAGCGACGCCCCTATATAATAGCTCCTAGAGAACTTTTGTGCGAGCAATATGCTGTGTGAGTCACATGTGCAATGTAACGTGGGAGATTAGGCTACCCACCCCGCCCTGTTGGTTCCATGATCTCAGATCCTATTGGAGATACTCATTTGCCATTTTAGCCATTTTAGATGGGGGCAAATTAATTATGAAAAGGAAATTTAAAAATTATTGTGTGTTGTTACATGACAATGTAATTTACAAATTCACGTGTTAAATTTAGGATTAATATTAATAATTGTATGCGAGTTGTAATTCCTATGAAGTTATCATTTCAGTGAACTTGTGACATAGAATCAATATGCCACATTTTGGAGAAAGTTTTTGGTGTGTCGAAAACACAACTTGGTACACCAAGTGTCATAGTACAATTGGTTAATTTTTTTTTTTTTAATTCTTTGTTGAAGTCAAAAAATATCATATGCAAGCCCAATAAAGTCTTAAAACCTAATTGTCATACAAGCCTCAAGCCAAGCCCAAAATACATGCCAAGGTGCTGAATCGAGAAGGGATTATATTCGTAATCATGTCATGCTACATTAATTAAACCATACATTTGTTTAAATCACACCATGTTCATGCAAATCCATGAATATTTATCATGCCATGCCTTATCACATTAATAACTATTCACGCTAAAGTAAGCCCAATTCACATGCTTGGGGCTTGTCAAGTGAATTGTGGTGTGGATGGTTATGGAAGTTTTATCGGACCTATGTGGAGTCAAGATTATGGAAGACTTTGTGTTGCTTGAGAGCCCAAAGATCTAAGCCCATAACCTTTGTAGTCCACGTGGGCAAGTTTGAGAGAGAACCAGCCTAGTTTTCTTCTTTCCTTAGCAAGCTAACAAACTTAGTTAGGAAGAAACCAAGTCTTGAGCCTTAGAGTCACGTGAAAGCCTAGAAAACAGACATTTGATGAAGAGAGAGGCTGATTCTCCTTTTATAGCTCATGATGAAGATCAACGTCTGAAAGCCAGAAGACACTTTACTACAAGTAACGCTTGTGGAAAGCTGACTCGGGAAAGCCATGCCTCAGGAAGAAGGTCCAGCGTAAGTTTCATGAAACCAATGACGCCTAGCTGCCTTGCACCAAAAGAGAAACGGAAAAAGAACTAGGGAGAAAGAGGAGGGAAGACCAAGCTACAATTAGAGATTCTTAGGAATCCTAGAAGGGAATCATTCACCTACAAAAAGAGAGATTAGAAGCCATTAGAAGGGGACATAATAATACAGAGGTTCAAACACTAGAGGGAGAAACTCATAATCATCTTCCCACAACCTTAGAGTTCTCCCCCAGACTTCCTTCAATCCTTTAAGTCAGGAAAAACCTCTTTAGAACCCAGGAAGCCCAGTTTATCCAACCTTGAACTCTATACAACTATGCAAACTCTTTTCTTCATGCTAAACTAATAAACTATTACTTCTACACCATGCTTCCCCTGAGTAAGTCATTATTTATTTAATCATTCTAATCTTCGAGTCATTGATCTAACCAGGATATTTCCAAAGACGAGCTAACTCTTTCTAGATATTTCGAGACGTGGTACGAATCCAAACTAAGGGAGAAAAGAGAACGTTCTCAAAGCTCAAGTCAACCTTGACCTAAAAGTCCCCCAACAGTTTTCAACAAATTGTATTATGACACTTAGTATATCAGACAGTACTCCTGGCACACTGAAAAATCTCACAGCCTTCCTATTAATTTGGACAAGAAGATACAAATGACACCTATTAGTTCCATGATCTAAGGTCCATTAAAGCTACTAGTTCAATAACTTGGTCAAAATTTTGGCCCAACATTAAATTAGGTTCTATCGTAGTTATAAATTCGATTATCGTGTTCTTATATACACAATGTGTCTACAAAAGTTTGCATTAATTGTGATTAAACTTGATAAACAGAAGTCTATTGGGCTACAAGAGGACAAAGTCCTATAACCCAAAGCCCACATAGCTTGGAGAGTCAAATTTTGACATATTAACCTAGAACAAAAAATAGCGTTCATTAACTACGAAAACTTGACATGAGTATTGCCATTGTGACATTGCGGTCTAATGGTGCAAATATCTTTTCACACGGTAGTACAATATAGTATCCTAATGATGCGGTGAATCTGTTCCATTTAGTTTGTTTTCCATAGCTATAACAATGGTTTGATTTCGTGCAAATATGAACAAAACAAGAAAACATTGTGATTCCAAGGTTACCATAATTTGCTTAGCTTATAAGAAGATTTCAATCTTGAATCCCTACCCAAGATTAGTAGCAATGACAATGAAGATTAACCCAAAAGATTTTCTCCATCTAATCACCAAAACCAAAAACAAAAAAATTAAGTGAAGTTGAACCTCTAATCAGTTAGTTGGACTCCCATTGTCAGCCACTCCAACCCCTAAAGCATCACCCAAATTCATTGTCCTTGTCATTGTTCTCCTCCCAATCCCTCCCCCGTTCCCCTTCCTCATCATTGCAGCAAACTCCCCATAATCTATCTGCCCATCATCATCCTGATCAATCTCCTTGATCATGTCCTCCAGATGCAGCTCCCCCAATCCAAACTCCTTGCAGGCTTGACTCAGCTCATCAATGGTGATGAACCCGCTTCCGTCCTTGTCGAAAAACGAGAACGCAGACAGCAGATTCTCCTCCCTCTCCAGCTTGTTCAAGTGCACCGTCGCCGCCAGAAACTCGCCGTAGTCGATCGTCCCGCTGTTGTCAATGTCAGCTGCCTCCATTAGATCCTTGATCTCAGACTCCATTAGCTCAGATCCCACTTTCCTCAGCCCCTCTTTGAGCTCATCAAACGTGATGCTCCCGCTCCCATCTGCATCAATCATCTTAAAAAGCTCCCTCAGCCCGCCAATCTCCTCCTCCGAGAGCCGCTCAGCGATCACTCTCAGCGCCATTTTCTTGAGCTTGTTCATGGCGGAGAACTGCTTCATCCTCGACAGGACAGCCGAGTCCAGTGGCTTATCGGGCGCAATCGTGTCATCTATGATCCACGGATGGCAAAGCACCTCATGGGCAGTGATTCTCTTCCTTGGGTTTCTCTCAAGCATTTTACCTAGGAGGTCTCGTGCACTACCAGAAATCCCAGGCCACGGCTCGGACTCAAAATCCAACCTCCCCTGCAAAATCTGCCGGAAGATCCCAATCTCCGTCTCCGCCCAGAACGGCGGAACCCCACTTAGCAAAATGTACAGAATCACCCCTGCGCTCCACACATCCGATTCAGGCCCGTAGTGCTTCCTCAGCACCTCAGGAGCAACGTAATACGGACTTCCAACAACTTCAGAAAAGGTCTCACCGGGCTTGTAGAAAACAGAGAGCCCGAAGTCCGTCGCCTTCAGCGCCGCGTCCTCCTCCTCGCTTTCGAACAAGAAGTTCTCCGGCTTCAAATCCCGATGCATAACCCCAAGCGAATGACAAGCCTCCACAACCCCAACAATGGTTTTCAGCAGCTTCGCCGCCTCCCGCTCGCTGTAATGCCCCTTCTTCACGATCCTATCGAAAAGCTCACCGCCGCGGCAGAGCTCCATGACCAAATGGACGGCGGCGGCGTCCTCGTAGGTGCCGCGGATTCTGACGACGTGCGTATGCTCGGAGAGGTGGTGCATGATCTGAATCTCTCGCCAGACATCCTCGAAGTCCTCCCGGCAGAGGAGCTTGCGCTTGGGGATGGACTTGCAGGCGTAGGGGTGTCCCGAGGAGATTTCGGTGCAGAGGTAGGTGGTGCCGAACTGGCCCTGGCCAAGGACTCTCCCAAGAGAGTAGAGGTCAGTGAGGTTCTGGGTCTTGTAGGGTAGGACCCAAGTCGTCGGCTTTAATGAGGATGTGGCGACGGAGCTTGATTTGCTGCTCATTGCAGTGAGATCTGAGAGCTCTGCTGCTTTGATGAAAATGGAAGACGATGACTGATGAACCAATGAATTCTGTAGGCCAAGAGCTCTCCTCTCTCTCTGATAAAATTTTCAAGCTATTTCCATTTCTCTTCTTCTGAGAGACAGAGAGTCAGAGACTGCACCTGACCCAACTTTGTAATAAAAATTCTATTTTTACAGTCCATTTACCAACATTTGTACCATCCTTGTAAACTTGTAATGGAGATGAGTCACGTGTCTTGTAGGCTTCACTTCTGTAGACGTGGTATAAATAGAGGATAGGTGTAGAATTTCTCATTTTGTATTGACAATGAAGTAGGATTTTTTTTTCCTTTTTTTTTTTTTATTTTTTTCTTCTTTTTCTATTTGAACGGTTATAGTTAAATCACGTCAATATCTTATATTAATTTTTTATAGAAAAAGAAAAACAAAATTTTGAATGTGAAAGGAGGGGCTAGAAAAAGATGAAAAGATAAGGATAGATAATCCTAATCCATTGACAATTGAGACATGTAAGTGTAACGTAAATAGTGTTATGCGTATCAATTTTACTAAAGAAAAAGTGACTTTAATGATACAAGTATACTATTATTACAAAACATTAGATGACGTCCACGTTTTATTGATATAAAACATACAGTGTATTATTGGTACAAAACATTGGATGGTGCTTTACTTGTATAAATTTTTCTTTACATAACTTTATATTATCGGGACAAAACGTGAGATGATAGTCTACTCATACCCTAAAAGTTGCTGTCCAAAGACTTGAGTCTTGATAAGTTTTAGTAAAACTGCTATTGCCATCTTCTAGAAATCGTTTCAGTTTGCATTGTTTGTTTTCTCTCACATCTTTTTATTTGCTACGATGTTTCCTTTGGGTCAAGGAATTGAGATTCAACGGTATCTACTAAAAAAAAATCTAAACCTAACAGCAGCGTTTGATGTTTATCAAATTAATGAGGCTGTTTGATTGGCTTAAAACCTTAAACTACAATTATTTAACAGACTTGGATAGGCATTGGTCTAGAATCATGTCAAAGTTTGTGTGCAACATCTCTGCTCCATGAGAATTTGTATATATAAATATATATATATATATATATATATATATAGAGTTCTATATGTCTATATATAAATAAATATATAAAATAGTTCTTTGAGGGGGAAAGGGATTCTCTTTAAAGGACCTGGATTGTCTGCCTTCCCCATCCCATATCTTTCTCATTCTCTCCTATTTTTTGTGGTCACGATTAAACCGCGTCAACATTTTATATTTATTTTTCTTTTATAGAAATAATAAGATAAAAAGCAATGGGATTATAAAATGTTGACGTGACTTAACCGTGACCACAGAAATAAGAGGGGATGGGAAGGGTATGAGATGGGGAGGGTAGACAATCCAGGTCCATCTCCGAATCCCTTCCACCAAGTCTATCAATTTGGGTCATTGAAATTTGATCCAACGGCTACAAATAGGGGACCCCTTTAAAAGTTATAATAAATTTAGCTGTTGGATCAAATTTCAATGACCTAAATTGATAGACTTGGTGGAAGGGCTTCGGAGAAGATCCCTTTCCCTTTGAGGGCATCATGTGGTCCCAAAGGCAAGGTCTTGGAAAGTTGATTTGGAATTTCCTGGTCATTTGTGTATCAAGAATTCAAAATGGGATGTGATATGTACACACTTCTTTTTACTTCTCACACACTTTTTATTATTTTTTGTCATTTGATATTCTTTAATTCGTTTGATCCTACGGTTAGAAATTAAGAGAGTGTGTGAGAAGTCCATACACCCCATTCAAGATTGGATAAATTAAATAATTGGAATAAGATTGTGAGTGCTATGAGGCGAAATAATGAACCAATTTAGTGGCGGGTTTGGTGATGAAATTTGGATGTGGTGTGCGTTTAGTTACAGGTTTGGTACTTTTGTGTTGCGATGTCTTGGTTGTTTTCATCACTCGGTTGTTTTCTCTAGTGTTGTTTTTTTGGTAGCTATTGGCAAGACTTTTGTGGCGATAATGGCAGAAGACGCTACTTTTTGCAGTTGGAGATTAGAGATTTGCGTTTTCGTTTTAGTTTATTTAATTGGGGTGAGTTTTTATGTATCTGTTTTACCCCAATCCATATGTGTATTTTGCCCTTGTGTTGGCCTGTAACCTTCTATCGAATTAATGAAATATACTTTTCAGACCAAAAAAAAAAAAAAGAAAAAGAAAAAAAAGATCAGAACAAAACAAAACAAATAGAATTAAAAGTAACACTTGAGCAATCATTAGCGTGTTACGATCTAATAGTATATCTTTCAACTTATAAATATGTGATTTTGTAAGTAATTGATTGTCCTAATAGATGCGGTATTCTTTTTTGACCTACTGTGCTCCGAATTTAAACTCTTACTCATCTTCTTAGTTTAGAATATTGTTTGTAGTCAAATTAAATGTGAGATTTCAGATTATACTCCACTAAATAACAAACTCGATCAATAGTATATAAAATAAAAAAGTATCACTTGAAAGAAAAAGAAAAAGATTTCATTATTATTTTTTTGCTAGGAAAAAAAACTTCATTAAGCTAAGTGAAAAACCCGGAAACACCCAGACCTATACAATATAATAAAATCGCATAGTGTGCCTCCCTAGGAAGACCCTATCCCAGATACAAATGTTTTCAACGTTATGACCAATACAAACGCTGTCATGCACAGAAAGATTTTTACGTTTCTGTCCGTTATGTTGGTTCCAAATTCCCCCAGAAGAAAAGAAGAAAGGGTTGTCATGCATTTTCCATATCTTAAATTATGACTGCTTTACTTTTTCTTACAAAATCAAAGTAGGTATTGCATGAGAGAGGATCTTCATTGGATCCTCTTTATGATAATCTTAAAGATCTTCCAATCATATTCGTTTATTCATTGGATCCTCTTTATGATGATCCTAAAGATCTTCCAATCATATTCGTTTATCGTACATCATACGGTCAATTTTTATCAGGTACTATTTATATTTAATTTTAAATAAAAAAAATTATAATGATTTCTGATTACACGATGTATGATGAACAAATATAATTGAAGGATCTCCAGAATCATCACAAAAAGGATCTGGCGAGGATCCTCCTGGTATTGCATGAAAGGCCTGGTTGGCCACGCATTTTCATATGTTTATTTAGTAAACTGTCAATTTGCCCTTGAACTATCACCCAACTTTCGATTTCCCTCCTAAACTTTTAAATTGGAAAATTATGGACTTAAACTAATTTTTTTGGCCGATTTCCCTCTACTGTTAGTTTTCATAGATTTCATCCAAATTAACGTTAACTCTTATCATGTGCAAACCTCGTAACTCTCATTTGTGGACAAAAACGTCACTTCACTAGACATTCAGACACAAAAGCTATAGAATCACACATATTTGCATAGGTTTATATTTTAGAAATATAAGGTTTTCAATTATTTTAAAGAATGAAGTGACCAAACTACCCCCACATGTTGTGCACCTGCTTCTATTTAATAGAAATTTGGATGGAATGAATGAAAATTAACAGCAGGGGGCAAATCAGCCAAAAAAATTAGTTTAAGTCCTTAATTTTCCAATTAAAATGTTCATGGGGGAAATCGAAAATTTATTATATGTTTATTATACCTTTTTTTTTTGTTTTTTTTGGTAAAAAGTTACTTCTTACTAATAACTGCAAACATACATACAAGCAAACTAAAGCCCCAAAACTAACATACAAACAAACAAAACTGGCCAAAAAAAAAAACACAAACGGGGCAACCAACAGTTAGGCCCACACATCAAAATGAAGCAACAGAAACCAAGTTTCTACTGCTATCGCCGTCGCCACAGAATTTCCTGATCCGTCCAAATCCTTGCCTGTAATCAAGCAACACCTCTTCGATCGCAACATCCAACTCCGATTTGCTTCCTAAGCTCAACCACAAAGCAAGGACAACCGACAATTAAACGAGAGAAGCCAACTTCCAAGATGAAGCCCATGGAAAACCACGAGCGGCATCGCTGATAAAGGCAAACAACAAAGAGAAGGCGGTGGTGTTGAAAACACCTGAGCCGGTGGAAACACCAGAGCTCTGCGCACGATCTCAACAATATTCATGATTGAAAATAAAAAAATGGATGAACAAGGAGGAAGGATAAAAAGTGGGGAAAAACAATAGAAGCAAGGAAAAGAGAAGAGAAGGAAAGAATGGGGGAAATGGCGATCGACCTCGGCCGAAGCTAGGGTTGGAACCACTGGATTTGCTCAAATTGGAAAGCCTCACACAAAAAGGTGAGAAATACTCTCAATAAAGGAGAAGGACTCTCTCACTTGGAGAGAAAGACGCCGGTTCCTAAGTTTTCTTTGTCATTGAGGCAAAGTTAAAAGAATCTCCAATGCAAGACTCAAATTCTAGACCTAAATTCTTACATTTGGGTATCAAAAAAGGTAGTGAATTTATATATTTTAGTTTTCATATCCATGCAAAGACTCAAATCGTAAAACATATTTTGAGTTTTAAGATTTGAGTATTTGCATTAGAGGAGAAAAGAATGGACTCAAAATTCAAATTTTGGGTTTTATCAATTTACGTATGTGCATTGGAGATAGTTGAAGTTAAAACTCAAATCGTATTTTTCTTGGTTGAATAAAACTTTACGTTGTTGCATGAGCTCCACCAAAGGATAGAATCTCATAATGGAACCGAAATTGGGTCTCACTTTACCTAATAACTCAAATATGAGTTTCAAGTCTCATGTGCATTGGAAATGCTTTAGGATTCACATTAAAAGTAGTTTTCTTGTAGATTTCTAGCAAAATTAAATTGATCCCTAAAATCTAACCAAAGTTTAGACTTATTCTTTGAACTAATAATTCATTACTTGAGATATCTAAATTTAACAAAACCCGGCCCATTGATTACGTTGCAAAACACAAAACCCACGACTGATCGTGAAATTTCACTCTAGTTTAGGCTTGGTCCCTGAACTTTTCCCACAGTTTAAATTGGTCCATGCAATTTGACTTTTGTTTTAGTTTAGTCTTTGCAATTTCACTCTAACATAATTCTTGACGAAAGTTAACGGTATAGACCAATGCTGCACGTTTTGATCTTTACTTTCTAGAAGAAAAGAGGAAAATTTCTTGTACATTCTATGTTCATGATGCAAGAAAAGATGGAATAATCGATTGGAGCAGTGAAACAAAAAGACTTTCAATACTTAGTTACCATAGAAACAACACTTGGATACAACTCAATTTCCTACTCCAAATATTTTACAAGCTCATTATGTTCGTAAAGCCTTGATCCAATCAATTTCGAGCTTGAAATCACCCGCTCCGGTTCTAGCACCTGGGAGACCACCTTCTGCATTGACCGATAGAGACATCCCAACGACGCGAGAAGGATTCATTTCCATTTCTGCATCTATAACATTTCCTCTCCATGTTGGTAGATACCGAGCAAGAGGAATCTGAAACATCAAACATAATCAGCAGAACGCAATCGAGCTGTTTCTACCATTGGAACAAATTTATAGATGCACTGACAAATGGAAAACTAGTTCAGTGTTTTCGGAGTTTCCTTTCCTGGTGTTATCATATCGGAATTGAATGGTGTTATCATATCGGAATTGAATGGTACCCTAAGACAAATTGAATTTCATGTTTTTCGGGTTTGAATTTCATGTTTCTTTGGGATCTCAAAAGACAAACCCAAGAAACATGAAATTCTTGGCTCCCTAAGAGGGCCGGGTCCATCATATCATGTTTCTAATCACCAAAGGTTGAGGTAAGTAGAACTTGCCTTTGCAATGTACCAGTTGTCTTTTGGTACAAAGACAAAAGCCTGCCACGAATTATCTTCTTCTTGCCCAGGCGAATTTACCCAATTTTCTGTATAGATCTACATATGCAAGAACCACATCAGTTAGAAAATGACAAACAAAGAAGTTTGGATTTACTTGTCTTACATTCCAATTCCTCGAAAATACTCACCGTAGATATGTAGCACCTTCCATCTCCTTTAACTTTCAGTGCTATGGTATCGTATGGGTCCAAATCAATGAAGCCGTCAAACTGCAGAAGACACAAATAAATATTGATATGGTGCCTACTAAATCCTGTCTTTGGTGGACTCTATCTATATCATTATGATGTAGGCTTGAACCCAAAATTTGCATTATGGTCATTGCACATATGTGTAACAATTTTTTCACGTCCAAGGGAGTCAAAAACTGGAAACCAAAGACCTTAACTCATCAAAAGTGAAGAAAAACCACAATAAAACACATGCATGCACGAAATTAAAATCAACAAACAACAATTTACTGTGACTTAATTAATAATTTGACACCGTATGGAACATCTACAGTAGTAATATTTCAAATATCATTAACAAAACTCTTCCGTCTTCATTTCTTATCTGCATACCTATAATGTTAGTATACTGTTCACAGCTCACCTTTTTGGACCGCATTCCACAAAAACCACTCCTGTTTATCTTCAGTTTTGCACCCTCAATGAAATCCAACGAAAGGTTACCCGAGAAAATTCCTAAAAATTTAAAGGAGAATTGTTTCAGAAGGTAAGTGCATATCAGCTATTGGTAACAGTAGATATCATGAGAGCTGGTAAGCTAGTAGCATAACATGGATTCATAAACGTTGCAGTTCCAGAAGAAATGATTACTCTTATCTGATATTAATTTGCAGTTTCATGCTCTTCATTTCTTGAAAGATCTTGCTTAACTTTTTCATGTTTGAAAATTATGCTTACAGGAAAAATAGCTTAAATCAGTAGCTGCTAGCTATAGAAAATATTTGGTAGCACTATCCATTACCAGTGGGTCCATTTTCATTATCTGGGATCTCTAAAGATGCCGAGGACAACCCTGCAAAAGAAATAGGTGATGATAGTACATTAGAATCTCAACAACTGTACATCCAAAATGAAAGTGAACAAAAAAGGCAGTGAAACCAATAAAACAATTTATATGAGAGGAAGCTACAATTCCATCAACTGATACAAACAAAAGTTCATACACGGAAAAACTCCACTATAAATCATAACTGTAAACATATGCAAGGAGACTAAATAGCTAAGCATAATTCCCAACTGCTTATATTTTTCTTATACATTCAGAAAAGGAGACATCAAAATTATGTACATCAATACCTCCGTATTCAGAGTCAGAATATAGATGCCACTTCTTGAGCTCATCCTTCGAATTGAAATTGAAAATAAATCTCTCAGTTGGAGGCACCAGGTCTTCAACGTTCCATGTAAGTGCTAAAATTGGCATTCGATGTACGAAACCAGGATAATGTTAATTCAAATAAATTGTTTCGATATTGATAACTTCACACAAGTTTCATAACTTCATCTATCAATGTCGAAAGGCCAAGCATCTGCACTCATTTACTGATATGAAAACAATTAGACTTTACCCATATACCTAAAGGAACACAAATGCAGAAATGCTTGGCCATCATAATTCTTTTGGTGCTAAAAGTGTTAATGTACCATTAAGGCATTAATCATGATCTTAAATATAATCGAACATGGCAGGTGACATATTTTATATTCTCCAACTTTCTAGAATTATATGTAATAATGTAAGTATAAACAAATCAACGCATTCGACTCCCCAGGACAAAAAGAAATAAGCAGAGGGACCAATTTTATGGAAGGTAAGGCAGTTACACAAATTTCATATACATGAGAGTCTCTACTGTATCATGGCAGGAGATGGAGAACAAAGAAACAGATGGCAACAATACCTTTCTTGGTTGCATTTAAGGAAGCTTGCAATATCCCTCGAAACCTGGACATTTCTCTTTCCACAAAATTTCTACATTAACAAAAAAGCCAAATGATGTAGAAATTTCAGCAAGTAATAATAAAGAAACAGTATAACGAGCAAGAAAAAACACTCTTGACCAGTGTGATTGGAGTTCCATTGTGTATAAAATGTCCCCTTGTTTTCCAACATAAACAGTATGCTTGGATGAAGTACCAAAGAACTTCACGATGAGATTTAAGTGTGGAGATATTTTTAAGTGATTTGTTTGGCTAAAACCTAAACATGATGGCATTACTGTGGGGGCTCTAATACTTGAGAAGTAGTTCGGTATGTATATAGTGATGTCCCCATATATTCAAATGCATATGCACATATAGTAAACAAATCATCTCAAGATTAGGAGTGAACTCATTATGACAAAAATAGGCTATAAAGGGTCTCAATACTTAAGTGGGACATTATCTCAAACACCATATAGACAAGTTGGGATACCCAATCAGAACTTACAGAGTCAAACGCAAAGTTCCAGAATCTATGTGCACCAAATTCATATCATATAACTTATCATATTTCATTTACATACACACACAGATCACATCCACATTCCCACCTAAACCCAAATCTCATATACAAGTACTACATCTCAACACAGGGTAGATGCACATTTGAATTTCCACCGCATATGAATTGTCCGAATGATTTCCAAAATTATAAGAATCCAGAAATTTATAAATTAAATAGTATAAACTCTGAATTATCAGAGGTAACCAATGAGATCGAAAACTCTTTAGTTAGGAATATTTAATTTTCCAAAGTTGCCCAAAACTAGAGCATTAAGTAGCTGCATAATGCCTATGCACCCTAGTGTGGGTTCGACCCCTACCGATCACCCTCCCAACCTAACATTCAACAATTTAACCCACTAAAACTATCGTTTGTCGGAAAAAAAAAAAAAAGAAAAAGAAAACAGTAGCTGCATAATTATACCGGTTTGAAGTTTGGTTTCTGATTAATTCAAGTAAACCAACAATTCCTTGATCTCTGCAGTTCAAAACAACAAAATTCTACTTAAAATCCAATATAATAAAAAAAATTACAGCAACCCATTTACGTAGTTTACCCAATAAACAAAACCCATGAAACACCATTTTACATTTGCTGGGTTTTGCCTGAGAAAAACCCGTCCAGCATCCATAAATCCAGAAGTATGAACTATGAGAAACAAAAACGATACAGAATAATAAAACCCATTTCCGATAAATTTGAATGGATTTAGAATTTGCAGTCTGTAATTGTAGGGAAGAGAGAGCTTACCGAAGCTAGTTGGATTTCTGCACCGAATAGTCACCGAAACTCCCACCGAATCCAGTCCCTTGTTGGAGTGGAGCCGTTTTAACTTGTAAGATTCAAAGACTTTCCAAAACAAGATACGGTGCGGTTTGGGGGTTCAAATCTCCTACACCAAAAAAGTGTGTCCTCTTGTGACCTATCGTAGGAGGTTGCTTCGTAAGTTATTGGTACCATATTTAAATTTCCAGCCTAATCAGAAAGCATAAGCCATGTAATGCGCATACATAATAATTTGGTATCGAATTTACGATTTATAAGATTTAAATATAAAATTTCTCATTTATAAAAGTAATAATACTAAACTTTGAAGAAAGGGAACATATTTACTTATTTAGAATAAGGACAATCATGAATAAAGGAATGAAAACAGAATGGGGTGATTTACTAGTCCTCTCATTTTAATCCTTATTTAGTAGGAATTGGATTATGGAATTTCAAGGTGGAACCAATAGTTATACTATGTTTGGATGAAAAAAATTTTAAATTACTAAGAACATCTTCAAATGAGATGTTAAAATGTCCAAATTAACAATAACAGTAAAAAAAGATAGCTACAATGTTTTCCAGCCGAGAAATCAAATCTGATGTGGCATGACATGTAATAGCAGCTCTCCCTTGCTGTCAAATTTGGCACAACGTCAAATATTTTTTTTATTAATTTTTTTTATCAGATCTACAACAATTGTTATCGGGAACTTCAAGCATCTGGGTTTTGTTGGGGCCGTCGAGTTGGTCGCCGCAGCTGAGATCGGACCTCTTGGTCCCCTGAGAAGCCAAATAAGATCTACAACAATTGTTATCGGGAACTTCAAGCTTCTGGGTTTTGTTGGGGCACTCAGGCTGGTCGCCACAACTGAGATCGGATTTGAGCTTAGCTGGAAATGTGGGTTTGCCTTGGTCCTTAGTTCCAGCGATGAGTGAGCAGTAGAAGGACTGGCTTTAGGGAGAGGTTAGCAGGGAGAGAGATTAGATCTCTTGGGATGGTGAGTTTTAGGGTTTTAAAACGCCACAAAGATGATAGGAGAAGTCTATAAATAAGGGGCATAAAATAATAATTTAATAAAATAAAAAGAAAAGAAAATAGTGTAATAAAATAATATAGAATTTGACATACAGAGTAGAAAGCAAAATTTTGAAAAATGTCAAAATGCTACATAGGTTATCAAATTCAAATTTTATGTTCAAAATTTGACAACTCCTTTGGAGATGCTCTAAGGAATTTTAAAATGATGGAAATTGAAATGACGATATTTTATTTTATAGAATTTGTGAATTTTTTTGTGTGGTTAACCAAAATAACAATGGAATTGAATATGGAATTGTTATTTTTAAACTTTCTATCATAGAAATTGGGAAATGACACATATTTACATGGAATTTAAACTTGGGAATTGGAGGTCTCAAATTCCAAGTTTTTTTCTCACACTGAAATTGTAAATTTCTATATTTATGAATCCAAAGAAGAGAATTCGTGCATGTCAATTTATAAATTATGACTTTTATCCAAATTCTAATTTCATTTTCCTCATTCAAACATAGTGTTAGTCTCTCTTTGAACCACTCTTTTCAATTTCATATATGTTAAGAAACACATGAGAAGATAAGAATCAAAATAATTGTAATACTCATGTTTTAGTAATCACAAAAAAATAAAGAATAAGAATGGTTTCAATTGTTACTTTTTTTTTTCCCTGCACGATTAACAACGGGGTTAAACATTCAAAGTATAGAAGCTATTGTATATCATCTTCTCCTAGAGCATTAGGTTCTCTAAAAATTGTTAATATGATAACACATGAGAGATTGCTACGTGAGAAAATATGCTGGTTGTATATGTGCAAGAATTTTCATAAATCGCATAAACTGGAAAGGTGGAAAAAGATAAAAATGTCCTCTCATGGCAATATGCCTTTGAATCCTCCTCTCATAGTTTGTTCATATGACCAAAAACGTGAGAGATGGCTTTGAAAAAGTGTTAAATACATATAGCTAGAAACCCTTTGCATGCTATAATTTTTCAACGATTTACAGAAACTAGACAATTCAAATAAAAGCATACAATAATTTTTCCACAAATACATAAAACGAATAATGATAGCATATATCCATTTATTTATTTATCATATTAATTAAAGATAAAAGAACAACTAAACATTCATATTGAATCTAACATGTATATTACAATGAAGTTAAAGAAAATTAAAAGAACCAGGTATATATACACTGATGAAACAAGTAACATATCCATAAACACTAGCAAGCTCTAAAACCATCCATGACTCCATCAAAGCCAGATCATCTACAAACAAAAGATAAGTACATTCCGAAATGATTTTTGCACACCCTTTTTAGCTTCTCATACTATTTGGACTCAAAATATTGGATTTGGACTGAGTGGACTTTGAGCTTGGCCCGCTCAGCCCAGAATGAAGACCTTCAGTGCCCAAGTAGCTCTTCGAGACCACGTCAGCCCAAGGAGGGGTAGCCAAATCCTAATCAATGTTTGACTCTTGGGGAGTCAGGTTGGATTTGGTTGAGTCCTAAATCGAGTAAAATTGTTAAGGATCAGGATGACCGTTGATAAGATTCATAATATTCCAAGAATCAACGTTCATAGCTAATCAAGACCAAGAATGAATTAAATATAGAAAATGGACTAGGTTCAGAGTCCGAAGTTTCGATAGGAGTGGCCAAGTCCAATCCAGAGATCAAAATGAAGTGGTATTGGATCAAGGGATGTTGAAGGAATACAATCCAGATAGGACTCTACCTCAACATGAGGTGATCAGCATGAAAACCACTCCTATAAATAGAAGAGGTTCTGCAACATTTGGGGATCTTCAACTTAACACACAAACGCTACGCAAATTCTCGCTCTACGTGAAACCCTCTCATCTTTGAGAAAAACCGTAATCTTCCTAACTTCATCAAGCACATCTTCTAGTTTGTATAAATAGCACTGTGCTTGACAACCGACGACATTTATAGATTGTATAAACAACACTGAATCCGTAGAGTCATGCAATTGAGGAGCACCTTCCAGTTTGTAGAAATAACACTACTTCGACCTTGGTTGACTACCTATCTAAGTTACTGCCAACAAAGAATCTTCGAGCTCTTGTTGAAAGAGGTCATCTCACTAGCCTTCTCGCCTGAAGTGAGGTGTTCCTAGTTACACATTGAAAGCCGAACCTCATTTGAACTTCGAAGTAACTAGCAACTTTGTCTTTTGGCTCTAGAGCCCAAAGGCCTAAACGAGTTTCTTCCTCGGTCGTAATCGCTTAGATAACAAAAGTCAGTAGCACGTTTGACACCACCACAACATTCACTTACTCACTGATCGAGCTCGGTCAATGAGTTGGCATGCCCCGCATTCAACCGAATGACGTAGTTAGCTCATTAGCTATTCGGCATGTGTGCCATGTAAGCTAAGTAGCTTTTAGGGTCAACACATACACTCCTCATTATTTATGGCCATTGAATTGAATAAATAAAAAAGAATCATTGGCCAAGATAAACAAGAGTATGTAAGAGGCTAAAAAGGTGTGCGAAAAGCACATCCATATTCATAGTAATATAGGCCACGTTTGATATGGGGGCTAGACTCGACTAGCTAGCTAAATGACTAGATTTCATGTACCATCAATGAAGAATATGGATATGATATTCCAACTTGAAGAATTTAAGATGGAATATTCCTAAGAGGTTATGCCAAAAATTTATCCCATTAATCCCCTGAATCCCCTTTTAAATTGTGGGATTAGGGAGGATATGTTTAGGCATCACTTATGAGTAGTCCATGTTAAGCCTCCAAATTGGAAGACAACGCTCATAGTCTTCCTTCATTGCACAATAGATCTTGTCATTTAGCTAGTCCAACCTAGTCTAGCCTAATCCTCCATAACAAATATGGTCATATGTTACATTTATAAGATCTTAATCCCACCTTAGCTATATTTACATCATCACCAATATAAAATAAACTCGTAATCAGAAAACTAAACCATCATCCATAATCAAAAGCGAGGATATATAACAATTAGGAGGAGTGCTGATGATTAGGAAATTTACATCAATCAACTTCCTAGTCTCCTAGGTTACAAAACCTGTCATCACAGAAAAAATACTAGCACAATATAAGATGTGTATTATCAATGTCTGCTCGCTAACCAACATGTGAGAGATGATTATAAGATTAGTCTTATATACACTCGTTGCATGCAAGAATCCACAAAAATGATTATAAGATGAGTGTTACATACACTCAATTGATCCAAGAATCAACAATAGCATAAACCTCACAAGCAAAAAGATAGAAAAACTAAATATATCCATATATTTATGATATGAGTTAAAAGATAAAAGAACAACTAAGCATCCCAAACCTCGTACTGGACACATTCAGTATGCATACATAATCAAGTTAGAGAAAATAACAAACCACACACAGAGACACATGTATTTATTACACCACCAATATGATAACTATACTCCCACCCTTGTCTAATTCAAAACAACTAGCTACTCTCATAACCCAAAGCGAAGAGTAAGAAGTAATTGGAATGAGTATCCCAAATCATTTGTTTAGGGAAACTTATACCAAACCTTTGAGCTATAGTCATATAAGATTTAGTATACTATGAACATAATTTGGGTGATCTAGCATCATACTGTGTAACAGTGAAAACGAAGTTAAATATATAAGAAGAACAATGAACATAAGGATTTATTTTACATGGTAAAATCGCACATATAATGAGGAAAATCTATCGCACACAGCCGAGAAAGAATCCACTAATTAAGGAAGACTTTTATAAGACTCAAACATAGACTTACTATACTTAAAGTTCTCTTTTGTACTTCTTGTTCTTGTAGCACGAGGACCTCACAAGCTAAAAGGATGCACACTGCTTTTTCACATAGATGAATGTTTATGAATGAATATGTTCTAAAATATACATGATATCTAGGTTTATAAAGCCTCACGAAGTTTGCTCTCAATGAAACTCACTTTTGCTCCCAAATGCAATATAAAACTCTAGGGTTCAACAATCTTTTCCTTGCGTCACCAGGTGATACATTCCTATAATAACTTTATATTTTTCATATAAACT